AGGGAGTGTGAGGTGTGGCAGAGTTGGGGTTCAGACAGGGGGCTCAGGGCAGGAGGTTAGTGTGTAGAAGGGGTGGGGGATGCAGCAGGGGCCTCAGGGCAGGGAGTTGGGGTGTAGGGTGCAGTAGGGAGTGCGAGGTGTGGCAGAGGGTTGGGGTGTGGGGTGCAGGCGGGAGTGCGAGGTGTGGCAGAGGGTTGGGGTGTGGGGTGCAGGCGGGAGTGCAGGCAGGAGGCTCAGGGCAGGGGGTTGGGGTGTGGGGTGCAGGTGGGAGTGCAGGCAGGGGGCTCATAGCAGGGGGTTGGGGTGCAGGACAGCATCGGGCTCTGGCCCAGAGCTGCTTACCTAAGAAATAGCCCCGCAGGCCGCGTGTTGGAGACCCCTGGCCTAGACAGAGCACTCAGGTATTTCCATCAGCCTGCTCAATGGCAAATGCAGCCACCCAAAGAAGTGAAGAAGAATGGAAGTGGAAGAGTAAAGCCGGACCATCCGCTGAGCTGCTGCACTCAAGTGAGCAGAGCCGGGGAGAGAAGAGGGAGAACGTGAAGGTGGCTGGCGGCAGTAGGGAGGAGAAGCCGTTTGGGAGCCAGGAAAGGAGAAATAAATAGTTAATAACAAATGCTGCTGGGTTTCTCTTGTGTGGTGAAGGGTTGAAAAGGGGTCTCTTTACTATCAGGCTAAACTTTAAAATAGCTGTGTATGATTGGGGGGAGGGGTCTATAAAGGTAAGAGGTCACTCTAGGAGTTTGAAGTCCCAGATTCTGGGGCTATTGCCTCCTCCTACCAGCTGATCTCAACCCAGCTACTCCCCCAGGTGGTAGCAGTAGTGAGCGCTTGTCCTTTTCTGGGCGAGCCACCAGAAAAAGGACACGATACATGTGGCCAAGGCAATAGAGGCAGTGTTGCCTGTTAATATGGCTCTTGTGGGGGAACACAGCAGGTTACTTTGGACTAGGTAGGAGCCACATGTCTGCACATTCTGAGGCTCCAGAGACCTCTCTCCAGCGCCCAGAGCTTCCTCAGAGTCCTAAAGAGCCAGATGGAATCGGGCCTCTCTCCCCCCGCCGCAGCAGTCCATAAAATGTTGTGTAGACGTGTCCTCTCCCGCCACACTCCCCTGTTGGTGACTAATGCAGTCACAGTCCAGGCTCGGTGTCATGCATTTCTCTGGGCTGGGACAAGCAGGAGGACGTGAGCTGCAATGGATCCTCCTGTGCATGGGCTGAGTGGGCAACCTCTCTCCTGCCATCTCTGGTTTCCAGCCCACAGACAATGAGGAGAAGGTGATGCACTTACCCCAAAGGTGGGGGTGGGAAGAAGCAGAGTGAAGAGGAGATCAGAGCGCCATCCCATAGCATTCCTCCTAGAGTCTCTCCAACCACCACCTGCCTCTTTCCTGCCATAGGCCACAGCCCCTAGGTTCCACAGGGAATTTCTGAATTAACCCTCTAGAAAGCTGCCTCTGGCTTCCTACAAGCTCTCACACGGCCCTGTCACGAGAGGTAAGGAATAAGGTCCTGCCTCCCCCAGCTGCTCGGGGGAATCCTCTCAGAGAATCAGTGCAGGGCTTTATGCAGCTCAACAAACAGATCCCTTTGTGTGGTGTTGTCAAGAAGCTGCACCCCCCCTTGGCAGCTCTTTTTAGAGCAAGTACGTTATGTAACTTGCATAACTGACTTACAGTATTAATGTAGACCAGCCCTCAGTGTACACAAGGCCACCAATGGTGGTAGCATTGGGAAGCTTAATGTAGATGGACCGGTGGGTACTATAGGCATTTTAAACACCATCAATAGTATTTTCCAAAGAGATTGAGTTAAGGAGGAAAAGTCCTATTGAAAGTTGTTGGGAACTGAGTTGAGATGAAGGGGAGTTGATGTGAGTCACGTTAACTGCATGTCTCTGTTCCATAGCATAGTGATTCTGCTCAAACTTTCCATACAATAAGGTTATGAAATGGAAAAACCACTTTAAGATGGAATAGAGGCCTCTCAAACTGCAGGAAAAGAACCATTTTTTCCTAAAATGTGTAGACATGCACCAAATTTGGTAAAGGTTAGTGGGGGGCTGGGATAGTGAAGTAAACAATATAAAATTAATATAAGAAGTTGGGAAAAGAGCATATATACAGCTGGGTATAGTGCTTAGATTATCCACAACTACAAAGTTTGTTTTTTAAAGTCATATGATACCTAGAGTACATAATCAGCAATAACCCAAATTAAGGTGAATAGATTAAATAGTTTAGGTATTAGAATCCAACTACTCGAGTACATCACTCATGAAAAGTCGCACAGAGATTTGGTTGTGGAAAGCAAAGTAGCTCAAGGAGTGGCATTGCTAGTTCAGCCTGGCAGTGATGGGTGCTTAGACTAAGGTTTCTGCAGGCAGTAGGTGCTGGATGTGGCTCATCTCTCTTGCTGGTCACCCTGTGCTGCAGCTGTGTGTGATATATAGACAGGTGGGAGAGAGAGTTTGATTTTTTAACATGAATCTGCAGGAGAAGATTAAGGTCTAGCTAACCCAGTGCCTGCAGTTTTAAATATGGGATAGAAACTTCAACCTTGTGCATGTTCCTTGATAATTAACAGGATGGGTTTTAGATACCTGCCTCTTGTGCTGATCTTCAGGAAGGAGAAATGCGTGAAAGGAAATGCAACTGAAGCCCCG